TACAGTAGAAAAGATCTAAATCTTTTAAGTCGTAGACAATGAAATGAAACACTAAAGGATGACCTTAAGTAGTGGTTCTCAACCCAGAGTCTGTAGCCCTGTTGGGGTCCATGATCCCTGTCATGGGGTCTGCAGGGCCCTGCAGCTGATATCTGGAGTCCAATCCCTGGCACCTCCTGTGGGGATGAAGCCCTGATCCCATTGGCAGTGTTGGGGATATTAAGGACATTGGCCCCACCCCAAACTGCACAGCCCTTCTCTGGCTGTTGCCATAAGCAAGCCCCTCAGCTCCCAGAAGTAGCCAGTAAGAATTGCTTGGGTAGGGAGACCTGGCTGGTAGACCCCTCCAGGAACATGGACTGCAGGGGAGTCCTCCCAGCCCCTAACACCTCTCTCTATACCTCCTGCACTATCCCCTCTGTGCTACCCCTCTGCCCTTAACTACCCCCTCCTTATACCCTAAGCTGTTTTCAAACTTTGTGAACTAAGCCCCCCGCCTTTGAGTTATCGTTTTTGGCTGGACTCCTTCCTCCCTTCCCCTCCCCCAGTATATAGACAGGGTGGGTGGCCTGCTGAAGTGAGTCGGTGGGGAGGTGGAGTTCCCTCCCTGGACCCCATGGTGCAGAGGTGGCTCAAGCATCTCTGGCCCCACAAAATAAAAAGTCATACTCTGCCTGTGCCCAAGATCCCTACTTCAAGACTCCCTCACCCACTGCTGGTCCCTGGAGTTTTTAAATCATGTCAAGGGAGGCCTCAGGGAACCTTAGATCAAACAATTTGAAAGATGAGGGGGAAAAAGGGTGTTATCTTCCTTTCATATGTTTTAGTTGCTATGCAAAAACAGTTTTAGAAAAATGTTTTGGAGTTTACTTTTAAATTGAAGCTAGCATGTTATCTTTAACATGTCTAGTTTTCAGAGGTATGTTTATATGGCATTTGCTAAACCTACTGCATAATGCATACATAATGCACTTGAACACAATCACATTGCTATTAAAGAACATGGCAGATGTGTTCTGTTACAGATACAGCTACAATTTAGGTCACAGGTATTTTTAGTAAAACTCACGGATAGGTATGAGCAGTAAGCAAAATTCAATGTCCTGTGATAGGTCTATGACTTTTATTATATATCCCTGACTATAATGTGGTGCTTTGCACAGGGGGACACTTCAGGTGCTTGGGGGTGAGGGTCATAGCCCAAGGGGGCAGCACCGTGGGTGCTCAAGAGGAGAAGAGGGAATGTTACCTGAGGAGGCACCAGAGTGGTGGGGGGAGGATGCAGCCTGCGGGGTGCCCTAGGAGGTTAGTGGGGCTAGGGCAGACTCCCTACCCAGCTCCTGGGAAGCAGTGACCCCTAACTCCTAGCTTCATGTGCTGACTCCACCCCAAGCTCCCAATTCTGCAGCTCTCACTAGCTAGGAATCAGAGTTAATGGGAACTGTGGGGGGTGGTGCCTGTGGGTGAAAGCAGCATGAATAGCCCTGAGGTAAGCCTCCCAGGTAAGCACCGCTCTGCAACCCTACTCCCCTTGGTTCCCCTTGGCTGTAAACAGGGAACCAGAGCCAATGGAAGTCATGAAGCTCTGTGGCTGTGGAGCCTGTAGATAGACAAGCCGGAACGGCCCAAGAAACACTGGCCTAGACTCTGTTGATTGTGGTGGTGATGCAGTGTAGGAATACCCAAAATGTTACTACTTTTTAAATTAATGCTGCTTGACTAATAAAGTTGTCTCTGGATGAGTGTGTGTATGTGTATTTTTTTAAACTAACAAAAGTATGGTATAAAAGATAGAGACATTTTCACAGCTCATCAGTTTAATCTCCCAGCAAATACAAGGTTGTTCCCTGTAGTTTGTCTAGCATCTTATAAAGAATGAGGCATTAGAGGACACTTTTTTTTCCCCCTCATGAGTCCATTTCTCCAACTTACTCAGTTTTGGTCCTGTTTCCTAGATTCCCTATTACGTCACAATCTTTTTGCTCATGACAGATGCACAGATCTGAACTGAGCATTCCAATTGTGCCTGTCCTATAATGAGCATACTGTCAGTGTTTATGGCTGCTTTCTAATGATTATGGATATGAAGCCCAGAATTATAGTCCCCTTGAGTTACTAACTAGGGATGTAAACATATACATCAGCTTATCAGTTTCCGTTGTGGTTACACGCCGGCTTGCGTTCCTCACTGTGGGCTCTGCCTTATACATTTATACAGCAGAGCCAGCAGGGAAGCTGGCTCACGGCATGTACCTGCTGCTGGCCCCACTCCCGGGGAGGTGACTGCGCTGCAAACTGCGCGGAATAAATTATATAAGCTTTATACTACCGGACTAGCAGTATGTAGAACGATGTACCTGCTAGAATTTTTAATGGTTACATGGTTACAATTTTTAAATTATTTTTTACATTCCTAGTAGTAACCCTGTCCCATTGCAAATTCATGTCTGACTTGCTGTCAATTCTCATGTCTAGATCTCTTTCAAAACCAGCACTTTCTAGGTTTTCTTTCCTACATTATGCTTATTTTAGATTATTTTCCCCCTCTCAGAAGCTTAGGTTTCTATTTTTTCCAAAATGAATCCTATTTTGATACATTTTGCTCTTCTTCATGATATCATTAGAGAATTTAAATTTACATTTGTCTCTATTAGTATGTGTGTGACTTTTCATTTTTGTGTAATTTTAAAATATAATTTAATGTGCCTCTTAGTCCCTCTTCCCATTGATCTCTTTAGTTCACCAACTCTGCCACCATAAAGGTTGTTGTTTTACTATTAAATTCACTATTATTAAAGTTAATAAACTTTAGTTCAAGGCCTTTCAGCCGTTTTTCAAGTCCTGGGATAATACTTATTGAAGGCAGTTTGGCTTTTCAGGCAGATATTGTGATATGGTATAAAAATAGTTTACTAAAATCCAGGCATAGTGACCAGATCCTTGACTATGGCTGAGAGATGCATAGCTCATGTTAGTATATGACCACGTGGCTTTGAAATTCTCCTGATCATGGTATGGTTATACCCCAGAGTGGTACCTTGGTTAAGTTGGACAAGCCTGAAATTGGCTATAAATTAACCAGGCTGCCGATCCCTCAAGGAACCAGCGTAGTTGTTGGGGATCAGTGAGACATAAGGAAACCCCTTGCTATGTCCTTTTTTTCTGATACATAGTCTCAATGTGATCAGCACTGGGGATGGGGTGGAAGATTCTAAACCTCCACTGTCTATCTTGGCACTGGGCAACCAAGGCTAGTGAGTGGGCCACATGAGTGGCCCACCTTCATCTCAATGGGCTGCACGATTGTGGGCTCCAAGATGATCTCCCCATATAAGCTAGTTTATCTATCTGTGCTTGCGTATTTAGAATTTGCAGAATGTGCCGATTGGACCGTAGCAGGGGGAGCACATGGCACTCAGTCATTGTTGTGCACATAATCAGCATGAGCCTTGCTTTACTCAAGTGAGAGATACATAACACCGGTAGGAAAAAACCTGTGGATAGAAACCAGTGGAATCTGGCTAACCTGCAAGTGGACACTGGTTTTAAAAAAAAAAAGTCTCATGAGCCACATATAGATGGGCTGCAGGTTGCCCACCACTGGTCTAGCTAGTCATTTTGTGCCATTGGTTATTTTTGTGCCATTGGTCATTTTCAGTGTGCCATTGGTTAACAATCTGTTGTATGGTGACATTATAATTTGACATAACTTTACATTAGTGCTTTCTACTGTTTTACTAATGATGTAAGGGAAAATAAACACAAAACACCATATTTTCCACAAGAAGAATGGGGGAAAGGTGGTTGTTTTTCTTGGGCTAAATAAAGCACTCATATATGAGACATACCGAACAGAAATTTTCCTCTTGATTTTGTTGACACCAAGAAAAAAAATATGAATCAAAGATGAAAAGGAAAAGAGGGGAATGAATTAATTCACTTAAATATTGCTATTAAAATTTGTTTCTTAACATGTTGATGCTGTAAATTTTTATTTCTGGCAACAGCCTTTTATAACAGTTTCCTATCAATTATTGTGAAGATCCCATAATTTACATAAAATATGGCAGCACTCTGCCCTCTTACATAAAGGTCTGGAATTGTTGGAGTTTTAGTGGAAAGCGAACTTGGAATTTATCCTTATACCATGTATCTTATACAAATGCCTGAGTGATTACATGCAGATCATTTCAGCCTTGGATCTAGTGTTATAATGGCATCCTTTCTTAATATCATGAGCTGCCATAATTATTCTGCTTAGTGTATAAATGTTCATCTGTTCTAGATTTATTTTGATTTGTTTGGATAACAATTGTGTGCCATTTTGTTAAAAACATTAGTGAAGACATAGTCCCTTCTTCAACCATCCCAGATTTGCCATGGACTGCACTGAATCTTACATAAAGGATCAATTAGCCTCAAAGTCACATAGAAATTATACGGGCAGTCATTGAAATGTTTGAAGAACTTCACATGTAGACAGCTGAATGAAGAGGGAGCTTATATCAAGGTGGTATGGAACAGTTTGTTAGGATGAAATGGAGGGAGGATGCAGATAGATCAGTTAGGAGGAAGATGGAGAAAAGCATGGAGAACACAAGCAAGGCAGAAATTGTAAGCAGGGGTGGTGCTGGTCAGACCTCTGAAGAATGTAGAATCGGATAGTGAAGGAAGCTAGCTACTCCTTTTAGTACTAGTACTTACCTTTAACTTCATGTATAAGGGTGTTGCTCCCAAAATTTTTCATTAGCAATTGCTGATTGGTCACCTGGTGCTGGATCACCTTCTTGTTTCTAGCTGCTACATTGCATTAGATAGGAGTGAAATATTTTTAAAGCTATTTGCTGAGTAGTTGCTGAAGTTGTCCCAGGACTATTATGTAATTGTGAATGGGTAGTGGCCCACACAATTGCAATTGACAACTGGAAGTGATTCATGAGTACATTTAGGACAATGAAATGTTTTCTGAGATGGGCGTGTGTATTTGTGTTTCGTTTCAGATCAAGGACATTCTTTTGAAAGTAAAAAATACTCACGTGGGGAAACCACTATTAACAACACCTTTGAATCCTGATCAAACGGTAAAACCCCTCTCTGTTTTACTTTCCTTGTTTCATATAATGGGCAAAATGAATGCCGATGGCCTTTCTCTTCTAGCTTTTCACATGTTTCCATTTTAATAGTGTGGTAGTGAATGTTTAATATTACATTTGATTTAATGGGATGATATAATACCCTTATGACATCCTTTTCAAATACTTCATGTCCTAGTTTTAGATTGATTTTGATACATTAATATATGCAGTTGGTCACAGTCTAACTTGTAAATGTTTTTTTCATATTTGTCAGCTGTTGACCAACACTTTCATTGGCAAAGGCAGGATAGCTTGTAAGGCATTGGGCATTTTAATGGAATTAAATATTTGTCCCTATTATTGTAATGCTGTAGGAAAGATTGGAAAAAATCAATGATGTCCTCTGCAGTGAATATGAATGTCGTCGTCGGATGTTAATGAAGCGTCTAGATGTGACAGTACAATCCTTTGGATGGTCTGATAGAGCAAAGGTAAACATGATTTATTTTTTGCTTTCTGTAGGTGGTGATGGTCTGTTACACGTCTCCAAGCTCTCTTGCAATGAAAAGTCTTTTGTAACTAACTTTTTTGAGTACTACTTGTAACATACATTCTGTATATAGTGTGGAGAGAAAAGGATTTGATCCAGTGTTCTTCACTTAAAGATGTTAGTTTCTCCCTTTGTTTTTTTTCTTGAGCTATTGTAGGAAAAAGCTTCAAAGTATTCCACATGCAGAGAGACACCCAGATCTCAGAGAGTTACAGAATCCTTGGGATATTTCTGAAGAACCTAGTAACTCTGAATGCTGCCAGTTAATGAACCCTAAGCTTCTGAACCTAGCACAAGGCCATATTCCAACAGCCATCAGTCTCTCCTCTGCTAGTTTCAATCCATACTCAAGAAAACTCAGGTGGAGTAGCAAATGATTGGTGACAAAATAGAGAACCAATGCCATGATTTGGTGGTGGAAGGCATTGTATGATAGGATTTGTTCAAGAAGATATAAAACTGATGTCCTGACAGCTTATCATTAACTCAAGGACACAAATCACAGTAGTGTTAGCCATAATGTCATCCTGCTATATTCCAAATGAGCCTTCCTACAGTAATTCCTTTGCACATTTAATTGGTTGATGCAGATATTTACTCTCATGATCACTCTTGATAAAATTAACATACAGAATTGAGAATCTGTCCTTGGAAGCACTGGCTCTGAAAAAAGGTTTGGGTGTCTGGTGGATAATGAGGTGAATAGTGGCTTGTACCAAAAAAATTCATCATCGTCAGTAATGCTTTAGAGAGCAAGAAAGGTGGTATCTGTCTCATGAGGAAACTTCCAGATTACTACTCTAGTGTATGCCTGCAGGTGTCATGTTTCTTTCAAAATACTTTAAAAAAGATAATCTGTCTGGAACAAGCCATTTACTTATCAGTAACTGTCTGTTCCACTGTCCTAATTTCTGTATGTTTTCCCATTATGTTTGGGATTTCTGTGGTGTTCACTGTCTTAGTATATAAAAACTTTAAAAAATGAGAGTATTAATCATGCCAGCATCTCTGAGAGGTAGAGAAGTATTGTCATTGGGGTGCATGGAAATGATCACCGATGGAGAATTCACTGCAACCCTAGGTAAATTGTTCCACTGGCTAAAATTTGCACCTTTATTACCATCTGAATTTTTCTAAGTCCAGCTTTCAGTGATTGGATCATATTAAACCTTTTCTCTCCTAAAGAGCCAGTTATTAAACACTTTTCCCCATATACATATTTAGACTATAATCAAATCACTCTTGACCTTCTCTTTGTTGAGCTATATAGTCACTGTAAAGCATGTTTTTAAATATTTTAATCATTCTCATGGCTCTTCTCGGAACTCTTTCCAATTTAGCAACATCCTTCTTGATTTGAGAGTACGAGAACTGGACACTGTATGCCAGGAGTAGTCTCAGCAATGTCAAACATAGAGGCAAAATAACCCTTTCTCAAGCCTCCTAGGTCGTGTTAGCTCTTTTGACTATTGTCACAGTGGGAACTAGTGTTCAGCTGATTATCCACCCTGATTCCCTAATCTCTTTTTTCAGTCATTCCTCCATTTTATAAATATTTCCTACACTTTGTTCCTAGATGTATATATTTACACATAACCATATTTAAAACACGTTCTTCTTTGAGGGGTTGCTCTTGTACATTCCACAGTAGATGCGCTTGTTCGCTACTTGCACCGGTGCTAGAAGTTTTTTTTCTCTTAGCAGTACCCATAGGGGAGCACCTTTAACAACCTCTGAAGTGGCGCTTCCGTGGCACAGTTTAAGGGGCGCTGCACGCTCCCTCCACCTTCAGTCCTTTCTTGACGCCAGTGACAGTACACAGAACTGCCTTTGCTCCAGCTACCCTTGCAGGAGGATGTTGTGAAAACCAGGACTTTAATAGGGTTCAAAAAAGAACTAGGTAAATTCATGGAGGTTAGGTCCATTAATACTTATGAGCTAGGATGGATAGAAATGGTGTCTGTCAGAGGCTGGAAATGGGTGACAAGAAACATATTACTTGATGATTCCCTATTCTGTTCACTTCCTCTGGGGCATCTGACATTGGCCATTATTAGAAGACAGGATACTAGACTTAGATGGACCTTTGGCCTGATCCAGTATAGCCATTCTTATGTGCCTATTGTAGCTCTTTTATCTACCATAAATGTTTTCCTTGTTTTTGTGTATAGTTCCCTAGTAGTATAGTACTTAGATAGTTAATAACTTGTTATCCCTTTCAGGAATCAGGCCAGGCATGCCCTGATTCCCACGCTTCAAATCCTGAGACAATTGCATATGGCTCTTGCCAGTGAGTGATCCTCTTAGGAGTTTCTTGTGATGCTTGGGAGAAGGTCACATAAATGACAAGTGCAAGATTTGCAAGTTTTTCAAGGTGAGGGATGTTTGTCTTTGCTCCCTCCTAATGGAGTTTTTTCTAACTCCAGCACCAGCTAGCTAATCCAACTCTGCACCAAGCACTGTGGCTTCAGTGCAGTATCCTACGGTACCTCACTATTGATGGCTCTGGCAAAGAAGCTGAAGGTGGTGCTCACTGCTCTTCCATAAACAGTGGGATAAATCTGGGGGCAAGCAAAGACTTGTGTTTGGCAACTCTCAGGCCCCCTTGGACCCCTGCTCAAGCAAAGTGGAGTAGCCCACCCCTCACACAGGTATCCCGGATATTAGCAGAACCCATAGCCACATTCAGGTTCCGGTCATGCCAGCAGCTCTGCAGACAGCACTGGACATAATAACTTGTTGATTCCGGCTAGGGATGTTAAAATGTGGGTAAATGTCTAATTGCTGAAAAACCTCAGCAGTTACACGTTTATGTTCACTCATAGCCAGTTCCCCGTGGAATGCACCGCTCCCGGGGAACTCGCTGTTGCCCCACAATGCATCAGAGGCGGTAGCATGGGCCATCATGTGGCTCCCTGGAGGCCAGTGCATGCCGGGAGCCAGCTTTCAAGCTGTCTCACTGTGTGTTCTGGCTCCTACCTGCCTCCCTGCACTGCTGCCTCCAATACAGAAGCAGTAGTGTGGCGTAGCCCACGGCTCCCCAGGAGGAGGACAGGAGTCTGAGTGCAACTGATTATATGGTTATATGTTCACATCCCTAGTTCTGGCCATCCAGGCTCCTGCAGCTCTTCGGTCATGGGGAAGCTGGCACTTAGGTTTTAGAGGTCTCCACCTCAGCGGCACCAGACCCTACTAGGGCAAGGGTCCAGGCAGCACTCCCTGGCATGTGACTGCCACTAGTCAGGCTGCAAGATGCAAACTCCACTAACCCCCTTTGGCTGTCAGATTGGCAGCCCAGACAGAGGGATGACATGGCATGACTCTCCAGCATGAGAGTACACACCTTCAGTGGCACTCACTCCCTACCAAGGACCAGAAGCACTGTACTATAGATCCCTGAGTCCATAGTACTGCCTGTGTGACTGCTCATGAGAACGGCATGGTTCACTGAATGCATGCCAGTCCCCATCTTTGGTCACTGAGGTTCCTGGGCGTGCACATAGAGGCACCAGGCCCATTCCGCTTCATGGCTCCAGTCACCATTGCAGCATTGTTCACATAGCCAGCGGCATAGATCACCAGCCGCCGCAGATCCACTGGCCGCAGCCGTTCCAGGTGGCAGTCGGGATCCTTGATGCTGGATTCAACATTGTAGGCATGGCACTGCCCTTGATGTAGCTACATAGGATCCATCTGCCTGGGCAGCAATCATTCACATCATAGCCCTGCCTCAGTCTAGGGCTCAAAGGAGCAGCCTCACCAGCCCTTTGCAGCAGGCTCGTCGGACTTATGCTACAATAGCCAGTACGACACCAGTTACAATGGTTGGTACCATAGCATTGGTGGAATCCATGTGGGTTTACCCAGCCTGCCCAGACCACCCATTTGTTGGTGAGGGCCTCGGAGAGATTGTCCATTTCCCTCTCTCATCCCTTCCAGGAAACATCAGTAGAAGGGACTCCTGATAAAGTAGCACTGCTGCTCCTTGAAGGGGTGGCAAAGATCAACATGCCTTGTGGTTAGCTATATCTTCCGTGCCCCCCTTCTCCAGGAGGGCAGAAGTTATGTTATAAATCAGAAAAGTGAGAGACAGTTTATGATGTCAACAGAAGATACACAGAAAACTTACCTAACTCCCAGTTCTGTGTATGAACCAGAAGATTACCTTTTCTTTTAAAGGAATGCAACAGTTTAGGTCCAATTCATTTTAAAACTGGTTTAATGTTTTGCACGTATACTGAAAATGAATGAAGACCATGCACAGATCTGTTTTTAAAAACCTACCCTGTTGTTAGTCTGTTTTAGCTTTAGTGCAAGTACAGATACAACTTCAGTTGCATAAATCTCATTAAATATCGGTGGGAGTCATGGACCACCATCCACGTATGCTGCTTTCAAAATTGATTCTCAACATTAAACTATTGCTTATTTGTGCACCTTTCGTCTCAGCAGCTAGCATGAACTCTGCACTGTAGGAGAGGAAAGGAAAAGGGAATTATCTTGTTGTAGGGTAAGGAGACTACTGCTATATTTTTCCTTGGTCTCCCTCGACACAAGGACATTTTTTCCTATCTTATGACTGCAGTGTGACTGAGTAGAATTCAGAGCAAGGCAACTTTTTATTTAGGTATCTAAATAGGGATGTCAGTGCCTAACTTTAGACACTCATTCCACTCATTTGAGTGTAAGCCAATGAAAACTGCAATGATCAGACTTTAACAGACTTCAGAGGCAGCTGAAGATGTGGACACAGCATGGTAAATAAAGACAAAAAGGTATTACGTGTCTGCCTTAAGAACTGAGCTCTCAGAGATGCAGGATAGTCACCTAAAACTAATGGAAACAAAACAAGAGACAAACGGGAGGCAGAGATCCTTCAGCAGCATGGCTAGAGCCCTGTTAATCTGTGGATATTTGCTTTATATCTGTGGATATCCTCATCTGCAGATGTGAATGATGCAGCTATCCACAGCTCATTTTTTCAGTTACAAGTTTTCTATCTAGAACCCTGCAAATTTGCAGATACTCGTTTTATATCAGCAGGTATTCACATCTGCAGATGTTAATGTGGCTCATTTTTGCAAATACATACTGAGAGCATTGCACTAGGAAGAGGTACAGGTATGCCTTTTGGCTGGATTTGCTGCATGGAGCCATAGAGAGAGAGATGAGGATGGCTGGTGCCCAAAGATCCACTTTTAGGCCTATGGATGCTGTGACTTTCCCTGTAGAACTGTGTAGACCTTGGGATTTGTCACATTAAAAGGATCGCTCAAAAGGGACTGATTACAGCATTAGACAAGACCATGTCAATTTGAGATAGGTAATAGGCTTCAGCATTAACTAAACATCTGCATTACTGTTTTCTTTGTGCATAGTAGCTGATTGTTGGGAGTGAGGCCAAAGGCATTTGTGAGTGGCTAGCACTGTTTTTACACATTGAGTGTCTAAACTATGTGCTCTGTGTAAACTCACACTGATTATAAGTTACCAAATGCACACTAAGTACACCCATTGAGTATTTCTTTTCTGTACAAGAAATACTTAACTGAATTATATTTTACTTTTAATCTTTTAGGTTAAAACAGATGACATAGCAAGAATTTATCAGCCTAAGCGTTATGCACTATCTCCTAAATCAACCATTACATTTGCCCATCTCCTTGCTGCTCGAGAAGACTTCTCAAAGATCATTAGGACAAGCAGTGGATCTACTCGAGAAAAAACAGCCTGTGCCATCAATAAGGTACTTTTCTTTCTCTTGTGGATTTCACAGAGCTATCAGAAGTATAACAACTAATAATATATTATTACTAATGAGATCCTTAGCAAGAATTCTGATTTTTTTTCTCATCCTCTATAATGCTGTTATCCTTTGTTTTTGCAAACTACCTGTATTTGGTGCACTAGAAAAGGTAGGGCTGCAGCACTCCATAAGCATCGCTACAACTCAGTTGTCTTAGTTTTTGTTAGAGTACACTGCACGCTCCTTTTGGTGGTCTATAGAGTACATACACTACACCCCTATCTCACGTGGGTATAAATAGCAGTGTGGATGGTAAGGCATTGCGCCAGCAAGTAAAGGCTCTCCTGAACCAAATGGATAAGTACCCAAATATAAACCCTATAGGAGTCTCTGCTCACCTATGCAGTGCTTTTCCCGGTCTACACTGGTGTTTCCAGAAGTGCAGTGTCCCACTGCTTCCCTGGTGCAATGAAAGACTCCAGCAGAAAGGAATGGCTCTGGCAGTTCCCCACTGATGAGCTTTCCTGCCCTGACTCTCCCCTGCAAGAGCCTTTCACTGTTACATGTAACTACACACTTCAGAATGAACACAGCCTGCTTTTCATTGTAGTATGTAACTGCACATACTTTTTGTGCCAGAGGTGTGGACTCTATATGTGGATGGTAGATAAGAATAAGATGAGATATGGATGAAATAAGATCTGAGATAAGAATGGATGAAAAAAGGATTTAGAATCTCATGCTTCCTGCAATTGTATTCCTTTGTTACCCTTCAGGGAGCAGGCACCAATCTGTCAGTCCTTAGGGCTGACAAATGCATGACTCTTCTTCTGGAAAACTCACCTCCTAGTAGTACAACAGACAGTCCACAATTCCTGTTTTTCTGAGCAGGTCTTGGAACATGGAGTGAGCTTGAGTCTGAGAATGTACAGTCTACTTCAGGATTCCTTATTCAGAGGAGAGCAAGTCCTTTTGGGATAAAGCTGGGAAATAGTTTCATCCCTGTGGATATAAATAACAGAGTTTTTGCTTCAGATTCCAGACGAGAGCTCTGCATACCTCTAATATTTACAAAAGCATGTATTTAAATTGAGGTGGGAATTATAAAACAAGATTAAGAGACCCTATAATCTGTCTCAAATATCTTGTGCTGATATACAACCAAAAACCAGACTGTCATCCTCCCAGTAGTTGAGTTAGCCATTGTTAGCCATATGAGTTGGACATCCATTCAAAGGCAACTTTTTACTGAAAGAACCAGCTAAACCTCTATTACAGTTCTGTAGGGTTGGCAGGTTCCCTATCCGAGAACCCACTGAACCTAAGGGAAGAAGGATGGTCTTGTGATTGATGCACCAGATCTCAGGAGGTCTGCGTTCAATTCCTGGGGATCTTGTGCTAATCATTTAATCTCTCTTTATCTGGGTTTCCCTTCTGTAAAATTGGGGATATACTTCACATTTTTGTTGTAAAGAAAACTAATTGAATGTTTCTGAATGCGATGATGCTGGGAATCAAAGAAGTATCTAGCCCATACCAAAGGACCATTATTTCTAGGTAAGATGTGATTGTGTCTTCCTCTTTGCTTTATACTGCAGAGTGTTTAGCAAAACCTCCCTGAGAGCAGGGCTGCCAGCTCCACTCCCTTGGAGCTGGGAAGAATTTAACCGATAACAATAACTGAGAAGCATCAGTTTATCGTTTAATCAATTAAAGGCTAACATCTCTAGCTCTGAGCCTCTTTTAATGCTTCTAATTCTGTGGTCAGGGCCTTGGCATTTCATGTTAATTTAATGAGGCCAAGTTTTCTGCTCAATCACTTGGCTTATTTTCTACTACTAGACTCTTCTGTGTGCGTGCGTACGTGTGTTAGTGTTACCAGAGGCAATTTTACCCACCATTCTCCTTTATACTGTTTGGCTCAAAGACGATGACAGCACCAGCAGCCTACTGCTTCCATTCATTCTTAATAAAAGTAGTAGTATTTTAGAGCAAGACCAAAACTGAAGTAATCTGCTTCATCCTCCTCTTCACTGAAGACTTGGCCACAGATTTGATGTGAAGTTTAGGAGTTGGGGACTAATTGGCATCAATGTTCCCTTAAATCTTTTCCATCCATGTGCAGAATAAATTTTATGTACACTGAGGCAGCCACCAGTAGAAACGAAAGCCTAGCTGTGAGTGCCCTACTAATCAGCTGGGTGGCATTTGATTCTCCTGAGCGGTCGCACAAGCACTCAGCTTACAGGGAACACTGATTGGCATCTTTCCTCACCACCCCTTTGTTTGGAGACAGGCTAACACATTCTGTCAGCAGTTGCAGGCTTATATCCTACAAATGAATCTAAAAATAATAGAAAAGGGAGGTGCAATACAGTTCAAACCACTATCTCTTTTAGATTCTCTGTACCCTGCCCTTTTCAGGGAACCCACTCGTGTTTGTATTTGTTCTTCTGTTTAGATGTTCAAAAATTGCTTCTGATGGGAGTTGTAGCGGATATTCCATTACCTCTATGGTATTAAATATTTCATTCAAAATATATCTGGTTCAGAAAAAAGAGGGTAGGTCTGTTCCAATTTGAGAGTTAAGAAAATTGAACATGTTCATCTGGAAGTTTGTTTCCCGTAGTTTTCCTCATTCATGCAAACTCAAGCATGAATGGGTTTATACTCAGTCAAGTGGTCAGAAATATTTCTCTTTAGTGATAGGACAGATTCATTTTCAGTACAAAGCCTTCCCATTTGACTTTTCTGCATCTCCTAAGGTTTTTTATGAAGTACCTTTCTGTACTAGCAGCATATGTCAGGAAACAAGGTATTTTTGTTTGCCCATATTTAGATTAGTGTTTGGTGAAGTCAGTTTTGCACATGTATTTACTGAGTCGCATTCACTGCAGAACTTTCCTGCTTGCAGATCTGATTTTGCTTTTCAGTATCAGGAAGTCAAATCTCTATACAACTCAGATTATTTGTATAGGACCTGATCTAGTTGTGGTAGCAGGAAAGGCTTTTCGTCACAGAGGAGAAATTTCTGAAAAGATTGTTCTAAGTATAGAACTTTGTGGTCTTCAAACCCAGAAGATATCTGTCTGTCTTAGGCTTATTGGACCTCATGGTGGCAACAACTGATGTCACCAGAATGCTCGTGTCAGAATGGCTTGTTTGCATTTGGACAATCTAAACCAAGGGTCGGTAACCTATGGCACGGAACCAGAAACGGAGCATCAAGACAAGGAAGTGTTAATGGTTTAGATTTACAAACACCTAAAGAGACAGGTGCCTAATGGGAGTTGCGTGTATTTTCATTTGACTTTTAATGGGAATTAAACATCTGGGGTTTTCTGGACTGCAAAGCAGGTTAGGCATGTATCTGCCTTTACAGGCACTCAAATACCTCTACTATCTGGGTCTAGATCTAAAAAACAAAGCTAAATGCTCTGATGGAACTTGTCAACAAAAACAATAACTCATGATTTTTGCCTATGTTACCAGAACTGGCTGAAATATGATACTTTGTTTTTCCCCTCTGTAAAAATAGGTTATTAACTTATGAATTTGATTTCATTTCAAAGTGTGTCAAATGGACCCATTTTTTATTTTTTCCCTTTTTCAAAATTTCCTACGTCTTTTCTATTTCCTCCCACTCTCCAAAGAAGTTAATGAAATTTTTCCTTAAAAAAAGCCCCTCCAAAAACTGGCACTACAGTGAGTTTATAAAAGACTTTGATGTTTGAGTTAGTGAAAAGGCATGACATTTTTTACACAAGAGGAACCATTTTGACAATGTCATCTGTTTGGGATGAGACAGTTTTGTTTTAGAAAAGAGTCCTTTCCTGCTCTCTAAAAGTAAAAAAAAAAAAAAAACTTAAATAATTTAAACCTGCTCAGTTTTCCATTCAGACACTCGGGTGCATCCTCATCTCTCCTTAGTGCTCCAAGGAGGTGTGTGTGTTCCACACCTTACAGCCTCGAGTTTTTAACTAAAGTGAAGACCTACTCTTCATTGCACTAGTTCAGCTAAAGATAGTGTGTGTATGTCTTCTTGAGCTTTAACTTACACCTCCAACTGTAGTGTACCTCAAGAAGTCTGTGATGGAGCCAAGAATTAAGCCTGTGTATCCCTAAGTAAGAAAAAGATTCTTTTAACAGAATTTTTTTTTGGAGTGTTGCAGATATATAAAACTCTGATCTTAATGATTTTTTTAAATCATGTGTTACTAAAACAGTAAGATCTACTTATTTATTTATTAATGAAGCTGCTGTAAATAGGACTAGTATTGACTTTAAAAAGCATTGATGGCACGCAGACCCATAAATAGAAGTGAATACGTTAAATCTGGCACACCACTTCTGAAAGGTTGCTGACTCCTAATCTAAACATTACTATGTAACAGATCATTCTAGACTTCTTGATGTGGTGGACATAGATCCAGTATTCTGAAGGAAGCTTTCTTCAATCCTTCTCCACCATCATTCATGATAATTCCAAAAACATCACATGATGCTCATCCGAACTCTAGCAGTTGGGGATCATTAGATTTTCCTAGAAAAGAAACGACAGATAATATTTTAGAGCTGAGGGTGATCCACCTGGCGCTCCGATCATTTATTCCTTATATAAAGGGTAAAGTGTTGATAAATAATACAAGTATGTATTCCATTAAGCAAGGATGTGTCCATTTGGTCTCTGTATGCTAAGGCAACCAACATGTAGAATTGGTGCATATTACGCAATATCTACCTCATGGCCCCATGTTGAGGAGGGAAAGCAATGTGATCAGTTATGCAGGGACAGCTCTTAGATGTGAGTGTTCGTTAAAGGACCAAGAGATGTAAGAACTTTTACCACAGTTGGGGCTAACCTGTTCTAGGCTTGTTTGTGAACAAGGTTCAACAAGAAGTGTCATCTCTCTTTTTCCCAAGAGACCAGTTATCCTTTCCCGCTATCTTGCATTTTCCTAATGCACTGGGGAAAGTACTTTCTGTATACTTTCTCCACT